AATGATGATAAAAAAATGTATTTATTCATTTCAATGTACATTTAACTGTACATCGAATGAGTTCTATATCTTGTATAGTTTGTTATGATCGGAAGGAGTTTTGTGGAGACTGAAGTAATTTCAATAGTTGAGATCATGATTTAATTGAAGCGAGACCACCATGGGAAACCTGGAACCACTGGATGGCCGTTTCATCCTATAATGGGACTCCTCAGTAGTGCGCATCCATGATCCCGCATGCGGGATCCGAACCCAGGACCTATCAGTCTCGCGTGCGAACGCTTAACCACTAAACCCCTGATCTGGCCGGCATCCAATGGTGTAAATGTCTAGCTTCAATCAATCCATAAAATCGAACGAAACACGCACCATTGTCATCGGTGAGTTACTATCTCACAAATGACCCGGTTGAACTCCACTGCTCGCTCGCGATACTGATAGGTACTTGGTTCGAATCTCATAAGCAGGATCGTGGATACTACCTGCTGAGGAGTCCCACAATAGGAAGAAAATGCCATCCAGTGTTTCCACGTTCTACATGGTGGTCTAGCTTCAGTTGACTCATGATTTCAACTACTGAAATTTGTTATGAGTTTAAGTCAATAAAAATGATTCAGTGCAAAATCTTTTAAGTACATTATATAGACGCTTATAAAACGAAAGTGAATAGTAGAGAAGATCAATTTAGATTACGTAGTTAGAGTTTATAACCAAAACATCTTGTCTTCATTTTTTGTTAACCAAACGTCGCTTAAAAAATATATTTTCACATACTACTTTAATAACTTGAATAAATTTCATTGAGTTATTTATTTGTTAAAGTTAAACAGTTGCTCGGAGATTGTATTCTCTAAATAGTCTAGTAGTTTTACTAAGAACACGATTTCAAAAATTCATGGTATATATATATATATTCAATTACTCTTAAGTTAATACAACATAGATATAAATGTATGATGCTGAATAACAGTCCTATTTATGACTTTTATATATGTAGGACGACCAGTGGAGCAGTAGTTGGTCTCAACATACGCAACGGTAAACGCAACATTCTCCGATTCAATGCAGCATGCACCAATCGAATCAGAATTGACAGAAAAGCTTTGGGAGATATAAAAACCTTTACATGTTTTGGCAGCATCATTGATGAACACGGTGGATGTGGTGCAGTTATGAAAGCGCGGATCGGAAAAGCAAGAGCAACATATTTACAACTGAAGAAGATGTGAAACTCAAAACAACTGTCAACCAACACCAAGGTCAGAATTTTAAAAACAGTTCTGCTGAATGGGGCGGAAGCCTGGAGAACTACGAAAGTCATCATCCAGAAAATACAGGTGTTTATTAACAGTTGCCTATGCAAAATACTTCGGATCCGTTGGCCAGACACTATTAGCAACAACCTACTGTGGGAAATAATAAACCAGATCTCAGCGGAGGAAGAAATTAGGAAGAAGCGCTGAAAATGGATAGGACACACATTGAAGAAAGTACCCAGCTGCATCCCAAGACAATCCCTCACATGGAATCCTCAAGACCAAAGTGTGAAGAGGAACACCAAAAAACACATTAAGCCGGGAAATGGAAACAGATTTGAAAAGAATGAACAACAATCGGATCAAACCTGAAAGGAAGTCTCAGGATAGAGTAAGTTGGAGAATGCTGGTGGGCGAATTTCGCTCCATTGAGAGTACCAAGAGTAAGCAATTCAGTAACAAATAATCAATATATGTAATTAGTTAATTTTAGTTAACAGTGAAAATCACTAACTAAACTACTGAATGTTTATTTGAAACACTTTATCATGTAAATGGCTTACTGAAATATTGACATCATTTTATATGGTAATAAAGATCTTTTAATATAAAGTAACTAATTTGCGGTATTTTCTTCATAAAATCTAAGTAAGAACACATATAACATTTAAAATCTATGTATCATTTTCGAACTGTTATTTTTTTAAAGGACCATATACATTTTTAATTACTAAAGAGTATAACATGCAAGACACCAAAAGTTCCACAAGAAACCAATAATCAATATTTTATCAATATTTCAACTGTTTCCATAGTAATATTCCATCTAATTTTTATATCTAATGTTCCACTGATATTCATTTATTTCGATTTGATATGTAATGGCAAATATAATTTCAGATGTACACTACAAAGAGTTAGTATACCATATTTAGAATGGTTTGAACAGATTGTAGTTTTATACGCTAAAATTCAATTATATCAAAGATGAGATAAATATCCCCAGTGTGGATTTCATTACGTAATTCTTGTATCTACTAAAGTTAAGAATTAAAACAATTGAGAATCAATATAGTGAATTGAAGGTAATATCTCTCTTTATATGATTTTAAAATTATGGATTTGAACACTGATAAGGTCATAAATACATTGTTGACAGAATTCCATACTATAAAGAAACAATTATCTAGAGCCTCCTAGTTCTAACTCTTTAGTAGATCTATTAAATGAAACAGTATAATGAATATTGTTGAAGATTTTTGTCTCAATAACATGATGATAGACACAGAACTTTGAAAAATATTAAGAAAATAGAAAGCACGGTAAAGTTTTTCTATTCCATCTGATAACTTTGATTTATATAAATCCACGAAATTCACATTAATTAAAATCTTATGATGGTTTAACCAATAGTCGAATATTAGCAAACGTTGTTTTCCTAAAGACATACCTATTCAGTTCATAGACTGAATTGTATGTAGATGTTACCAAGTTAACAGTTCAAAAGCTCATACATATATATAAGACAACGTCTGGAATCGAGAACACAAGTCTACACTTTCATTCACGATGGCAACCATAGTAGCAGCGATTATAATCGACAATTTATTCAATTGTGGATCTTCATTTTATTTCATCTGATCACTCATACTTAAGCAATTTTGATTAGGATCATGAATCGATCAATGTTAGACTACAATTGAAAACATGCAAACACTGGACGGCCGAGACCAGTGGAGCTAATCTGTGTCAGGCAGTGACAAGTATCTACTTCGGTCAACGGGAGATGGTTGCAAAACTTCGTGGATTAGTTGTAGTCAGACATTAACACCGTTAAATGCCGGCTCCATGGTCTATAGGTTAGGCATTTTCGCGCGAAACCGAAGATTCTGGGTTCGAGTCCCACATGAGAGATCGTGGATACACACTGCTGAGGAGTCCCATACAAGAACGAAGCAATTATCCAGTGCTTCCAAATTTTCAACGACGATCTAACATTGACCCATCCGTGACATCAATCTACACAAAATTACAAATTAATAAAAGTCATTTTGGGTAACTTTTACACATGTGTTCAAAATAATATAAGGAATGCATACTAAACATTAAAAGAGATTGCAAACTGAAAAAAAATAATTGAATTTGTTCTAAGATGCGTTTGGAAAGTGATCGCTTTGTGCAGCCTATGTAGCGTGCCTCACATGAGCACGTAAATTTATAGATACACATTGATGTGGGTCAAAGCGTACGTTTATCTTTAACATATCCCAGAATGGTAGGTCGGCTAGAGAAAACAATTCGGAGCTCAGCTGTGTAGAATGTTTTATTCAACGATTTTGAAATCCGTTTATTTAGGATTTCAGCAGCCGTGTCTCCTTTAAATTTTGTTATCATAAACAACGTTTTCTTCTGTACTATCGATGCTTTTAGGACAATGGAATTTAAAGGAGACACAACTACTGAAATCTTAAATAAACGGATTTCAAAATCGTTGAATAAAACGATCTACGCAACTAAGCTCCTAATCGTTTTCTCAAGCCAACCTAAGATTCTTGGATGTGTTAAGGATAAACTTCCACTTTGGGCCACATCAATGTGTATATCTATAAATTGACTTGCTCATGTGGGGCACCTTACATAGGCCGCACAAGACGATCACTTTCCAAACGCATCTCAGAACACTATCCAGCTTGGCTTTCAAAAGATGAATTGAATTTGTATTCTTAAACTCAATGGAGTTACATAATCAAAGTTATATTAAAATAGGAGATTTTATTAAGAGTGGATATTCTTAATTGGGTGATTAGTTTTTGTTATAAATTAAGGAGTAACATAATTCAATGTAATTGATAACTTTACTTATAAAAATATTACCACAATAAGTAATAATTTTGTATAATGTAAAATGTATTTGTATAAATTAACACATACTCATTTCATTTATTCATGTGTTTAGTTCATATTCATGTTCTAAGCCTGTTTTATGGCATTTTAGCATGTCTTAAATTCTAGATATCATATGTTATTAAATTAAATAACTAAATAAATTATCAAAAGACTATAATTTGTAGTGTACTTGGTTGTTCAGCTGATGTTAATACTAATATATCATTTTTTTCTTTAAACAACCTACTGAATTCAAGACATTTACTATCTGTACAATCATAAGTGTTCAACGTTATTACTTTGTAAGAAATATGTATGAAAATTGTTTAAACATATTTACTAGACAAAGATGGATAGTGCCTAACAGTGGAATCCAGGACGCACGTCTCTTCCTATTTGGGGACTCGTCATCTGAATGTACCTACATCTCAAAGTTGATGTTCACCCTGGAACTCGAACCCGGTACCGTTCGCTTCAAACGTCATCGTATCCGAAATAGGATGAGACGTCCATCCTGGATTCCACTGCTAGCCACCATTCATCTTTACTTATAAAGCTTGTGAATTAAGGTAATATCGAAGCAATACGCACAGGATGTACATGTGCCAACAAGAGAGAGACTGATTAATCGCAGTCCTCAATAACAATGGGAAGATACAAGTAAATAACATCAGGTGAAGATTTACTAAACGTTTTCTTAAATACAACTAGGCGTGTATCACACTTCAGATTATCCATTCAACAAATATATATATTTTTAAAACTATAAAAATATAACTAATGATTACGTAATCAACGATCAAGATCGGTTTTTTTTTATTAACTACATACATAACTATTTATTCACAATAATCTTACCTTCATCTAAAATGTTATCGATATAATATTGATTTTGGCTAGAATCATCCAAAGACAAATCTGTTGAATGCAATAAATTCTGTATAGTATTATTATTATTATTAAATATTGATTGTGATCTATTATAATTAATAATTATAGATTGATTATTGATTTTTTGTAATTTATTATTATTATTATTATCACTAATATTATTTATTATTAAATTAGTAAATATAAATGAATGTATCATTCGTTCTGTAAAATAAATGAAATAATATAATGAAATGATAAGAGTTATTTTAAAATATTTACACATCTACGCAACAATGAAATATGATAGATGGATGAATAGATATCTTTTATAATCTATAATGGTTATATAGATGTATATTGTTTATTGTGTATGTTAACAAGTAGGTATACATTGAATAAAGTTTCATCGTTATCATCATTATCATTCAGGTAATTGAGTACACTGATTACATTGTAGAACAAAAAGAAAAATAAACAAACAAACTATCTTTCTTATTGTATATTGGGAAATTACATTTAATTATGTATTTCTTTAATTTCTTTCATATATTTATTACGAATTGTATAGTTTGTATTGTGGTGTACAATTATTGTTATTATTATTCTTTATATACATTTTTTCTATATTATTACTACTGTTATCTCAATTAGTAATATAAACATATAGGGATTTAAACGCCATTGTTTTTTTTTTGAGAAATAATAAAAATACTTGAACTATTTGAATACTTTTTTTGATTGGTTCATTGAAACAATTTTTCTTTAATTTGATTGGTTAATTAAAATCAGATGAAGAATTTACTGGTAAAGCATGTTTTATTTAGTCTGATGTTTATTGTTATTATTATTATTATTATTATCAAAGAAAGGATTTGTGATGTGATTTAGAATTGGACCTAATGAACAATAGCTCAATCTTAAGACAATCATTTGTAGTACATGAAAAGACTGTTCATTTTGAAATTCTATTGTAGTACTAGGGATCTGTGTACTGACTATAGATAAATAAATATGGATCATAATGTACTTACAGTTTCCATTTCTTCTTTAGACATTAACATTGTTGTGTGCCAACTCACGAGTTTATAGGTCAAGAGTTCGCGCGCAAGACTGAAGGTTTTGAGTTTGAGTCCCACATGAGACATCATGGATGTACACTGCTGAGGAGTTTCATACTAGCAATAAACAGCCGTCCAGTGCTTGCAAGTTTTCATTGGTGATCTGGGTTGCATTGACTCACGAATTCAATTGTTAAAATTACTAGAATCTTCGCAAATTCTTAATCTGAAAACATTTTCTTCCTAGCTCATAACTGTTATTTTCGACATCAATTCCTCCCTGATATTAGTCCATTCACAACTCATAAATACTGAATAATCTTAACCACTAGTTTTGAAATGTTCTGTCTTCCTGTTTCATTGTGGTTTTGAACTTAACGTTATTGTCTTAAGTATGTAAAACTTTGCTTTTGCTTATTGCAACCTTTAGGTGCTGCGAAATATGATAAATTCATTTTATTCCCCCTCTCCCGTCCTGTTGAGCTCACCTTGTTAGAATTTATCAATAAATCACAATATATTAAGTATTTTAACGTACACGTAACTGTAATCATAATTTCTGATTACGTAAATGTTACTTCTGATCTTTACTCAGTTCATAATTTTTAAGTATTACACAATCCATGGCACAAATCTTTTATTTCAAAACTATTATGTTCTCATGCTTTTCTCTGTTTTCTTTTCCAGAATGCTTTGACAATTATTCTATATATAACTAAACATTAGTACGTTTTATATGATTCTTTCACAATAATTCCAACTTTTTATTCAATGTCTACATGTAAAACTCAATTTGATAAATAACAAACGTCGTATGATATGCAGTTGAAAATCTGTCTTTAGTTGGTCAACAAGGGGTACGTATATTAGTTCTGTTAGATAACCTGAAATATGTTGAATTCATACATTTCATTATATAGTAATGTGCGAGATTTTTATCGTTCTCACCAAAAATGTATCTAGAGCAACCATTGTAATCCGGGTAGTTCTGAATAGATAGTTTATTTTAGTATGGTTTCCGATAGTTATCTAATGAACATCAATCCAAGATCTAAATTACACGGTTCATCAGTCTTCATGAACGTCCTATAGTCATGATCATCATCAGCTCACTAATAACTAATTTAGAAAATCAGTTCCCAGAATTTCAGAAAAAACCTATAACCATTTGATTTCAATCATGTCGGATTTAACCTAGTCGTTCACCAATAATGTTAGAAGATGGTCTCTCTGTATTGCAAAATTTAACTTATTGTCAAATAAGTTCTATTGATGTCAGTAGAAATTAAATAATTGTAGTTTCGACATGTTTACAGAAGTACAACATGACAGTAATAATCAATAAAGTCAGTTAACATGCGAAAACTTCACTATTCGTTAAATTAGGCAATAAATATATCAGTTAAAATTTTCAGCTAATACTAATGGATGGGAAGAATTTATGTTTGTAATGTTGTAGGTGTTGTGTCCTACGAGTTGGAGGGTTTAGCCACGAAGCTCGTATTGTTATTTTGGACGATATCGACATTTACCTCAAAATGATATAGTCGTCCAGACGAACAATAAATATTTCACGATCAAGCAAGACAGTTCATGAAACACAACATCAATGTCGTTATTTTCAGCTGTAATTTTTTTCCACTATCTTCTATTCATAATATGTACGTCCGATATAATTTATTTTTGATTTTATCTTGAATAGGTTATTACGACTTTGGAATGATGATCCAAGTTGGTTGAATATCCAGCAGTTCATTCTACTAAGGATGGCAGGATTTCAACTCATCGTCCTCTCTGAGGTGTTTTGTTTCGCTTAATATTTCGTAAGATTGCTTCAGGATAAAACAAGGATATTTCTATGCCAATTTACGTAAATACTTGTTTTTTTATAGTCAAAGCATTCTTTTTTTATTATTTAGATGTTTTACTTAGACTTTTAAACACATTACCTATGTAAAACGGAAAAAATAAGTATATTGAGTTATTTATTACAATTTAAATATTCTTTCGAATGCATCAAAAAGCCATACATTTCCTTGTGAGTAAGTCTGGTTAATAACAATGATTCCTACATGACATTGATCACTACCAAGTGATCAACCAATTGTAAATACATCTCAGTCCTACAGGAGGTCAGTCGCTATCCGGGTAGCTGAGTGGTAACGTCTCTGAATGTGAAGCTGGGTGACACGGGGTCGAATCTGTCAGCGGGCATCAGTTCCTTCAAGATTTCAGGTACACCTTGCTAACAAGTGCCAAGTAGCACAAAACCTAGGTCCAAGGTTTCCTGTTAACTACCTCCAACCACCATCTTAATTCAACATAGTGCACGCAATTTCGAGTCACCTAGACTAGTGGCCACATTGCAACTTGGTTGATAGAATTCAATCTACACTAAGAAGTGCCTGACATACACGACATTGATCACTACCCAGTGATCAATCAGTTTTAAAACGGGTTATTAATAAGCGTAATTACTATTACCTCTGAAATACTCATTATTAATAATCATTCTATCAATGATACATGACTCAACTAAACATCAGTTCCAGACAATTCTGGAGCTCTAGTGAGAAGCAGTGACTAATTGAGTTCAACCGAGTCTGTTATAGGATAGTAAATCACAAAATACAATAGTGGATGTTTTGTGTGAGCGGGATCGTAGATGCGCACTGCTAAGGAGTCCCACAATAGGACAAAACGGTCGTCCAGTGCTTCCAGGTTTTCAAGGGTGATCTAACGTCAATCGGTTCAATATGTCAATCAAAAACTTAACAATCTCCACAACCTCTAAACTATTAATTGCACTATTATTTCACTCACCCTATTTGCCCCATATTTCTTCTGGTCATAGATTTTAAATTTTTACTTAACATATATGCAGATTCAAGTTAACATTCTATATGAGTCATAACAAAAATTAACACATTTATTCTATGGCTATCAAGACTCAGTAGCTAAGTTGATAACGTGATGGCTTTTGAAGAGTACGATATTGAGTTTCAGTACCAGAGTGAACATCAACACAGATGCAGTCACATTCAGCTGACGAGTTCCAAGTATAACGAAACGCGCGTTCTAGATTCCACTGCTAGCAACTATCCATGTTTGCTTATAATTCTTGTAAATTAAATCAATATCGAGGCAATACTCACAGTATGCCAATAAGAGAGAGACTGATCAATTGCAGTCCTAAAACATCAATGGAAAGATTCAAATAAAACAATACTAAGTGAATTTTGTTTGACAATCCTAAGTTCGCATGCTTTAAACGATGGACTTTACCCTTAACCTGGACACTTTTCGAATTATAAAACCTGAATAGAATTTATCGAAAAGAATATTCTTCATTCATATATACTAATGCTTTAAATAACAAACTATGGTGATTATTTTCTTTTTGAGAAAAATTAGTTTGATTTTGCTAACTGAAGGTTTAGATCTCTCATTGATAAATGGAAGTGAATCTATTTACATATATATATATATATATGTACATTCTTTTGAACATTTACTCCCCTTAAAGCATTTGAGTTCTTCAGCAAACTGAGTAAAAATATAAAAAAGAGAAAAAAAAGAAACAGTAGCCTGATTTAATATACAGTTGATTTGTGGGAAAAAAACACAAATTGAAATGAATAAAATTGTGAATTTTGTTAACAAAAAAAAAAGAAAAAAATCTTCAATTTTACGAGTTGCTTTCACTTCTTTATTCTCTTTCTTTTTTTTTGTCGATTTTTCTTTTCACTAATCAGTAATTGATCTTAGTTTAGTTATGTATGTAGTGAGTATGTTGGTCATTTTGTTGTCTACTTCTTTGTTGTTGTTGTTTTTTGTATTTGCTTTGTGTTGTTTTTGTTCTTCTTTTTGTTCTTGTGAAAATAAAGTATTAATGAATTGAGGAAAATGATTAAATGAAATCAATTTTGTCAGACACTTCTCTTGTTGTTGTTTTTTTTGTTTTTGATACCGCCATCTTATCATCATTGTGTCGATACAAACATAAAAGATTTACTGATAATTAAAATTACTATTTTCAAGTGTTTAATAATTTAGTTGAAAGACAGTAAGTCATTTATATAAGGAATGGTATTAATTAAAATGACCATTTCATTTAAATTCACTTGGTATTGTTTGGATTGTAACTTCCCAGTATCTT